AGTTCAGTTCACCTGACGCTTGGACCGGCGGCCAACTCGGGTCTCTCCTCCTCCTGCCTCCCTTTTCCCTCATCACAAGGTAATGCTTAAATTCTTATCCAGCTCTGCTTTTAACATAATAAATCAGCAATATCTGTCACGGGCGGATCTAGAAGGGTGGCATGTGCCACCCTAAAATGATCTTGTGCCACCCTAGTTTTGCATATGACAGTGTTGTTTATTAAAACAAGATAGCATTGGGCCTAGCAACAGTTAACACTGAATATAAATTCTAAAACTGAATATATTACATAGTGATACCCCCTCCCCCCTCCCCCATTAACAAATGGTTCTTGTTCCAGATGGAGTGGCTACATTTTTAGATAAATAGTTGTATATAATTTTATTGTTTAGAAAAGTTGTGCATAAATTTTCAAAATGTACAACTTATATTTGCATTTCAAGCTATGAAAATAATTTACTAAACATGTCTGTGGTTTTTACAGTAAAAAAATATATAAGTACTACTAGGATTTTTGTTTTTTGTGTGATTTTAGATCAGTTGTGTTAATACAATATGTCAATGAAAAAATAACTGTAAATTCAGATGTGAGGTTGAGGTGAAAAGAATGATACAAGCAAGGAAAAAAACCAAACATAAACAAAAGAACAATTTGAAGGTGAAATACAAATGTCAAATCAAAAGTAGTCAAAAATGGCGAATTACGTTTTGGACCTCAGAGGGTTAATGCAACAAGTCATGAAAAATTAGGTTAAAATTTTTGTTCATGGCGGTGTAGATTTCTTACATTTTGTGTAAATTTAAGCATGCATCAATTTGATTTTTTCTAACAAAAATAGTTTGAAACTTAACTTAGACTTGTGTTTGTAAATGAACTGCCCCATGTTGTGTAGCTTTCTGGATTTTATACTTATTGGGCTACATATTTATTTATTATACTGGCTATACAGTATATAAAAACCAAAAATTCACAAACTTTATATAACTGAAATGTTTACTTCTGGTTGCTACAGAAAATAATTAAATTATAGGCTACATTTATATTAAACACGTATACTTACTGCATTTGAATCATTTTAACCATATGTAACATGTGCATATGTGTGTGTGTGTTTATGTGTTTTAAAGGCTTTGATTTGGCCACCCCATTTGATTTCCACGCCACCCTAAGAAAGTTTCTCTAGATCAGCCCCTGATTTTATGGCCGCTTGTGTTTTCCACTCAGGCTGCCATGTTTGTAAAACGGAAACGTTTATCTGCAATGACCCATCTGGCCACACGGGGGAGTCACTGCGCTGTAAAGCCAGGCGAACAGCTCAGTGCTGACTTCTTCATACTTTGCTTCCAAGCAGCCAGACTGTTAATAGTTTTTAAAATATGTTTTTGAAGTGCTCTTGCGCAACAGTTTTCCAGGCTTTCTGAAGGGCTTTCAAAGTGTTTCTCTGGACCCCTGGGAAACGGTCAGCGGTGGGACCTTCCAGCGGAGGAGCCCAGCAGGAGTCTTGTTTCCATGACAACCGTGTCATTACCTAGCATGGATTGTGAAGCGGCTGCCGCTGCTACTTAGGGTTTTACCGACAAAAACGGGTATACAAAAGGTCTCGGGTTGTTTAATCCAGCTGTTTGGCTCCAGAGAGGCTGTTTGTGATAGTAGCACTAACCGAGTAACGAACGTAGAGACGGAAGTCACTTTAGCTGTACTTTAACCTGGGATTCTTAAGTTTAATAGGAAATAAAAACAGGCTGGATACACGTGAATTTTACTTTATTTCAAACACACAAGTGGTGACAATCGAAGAGTTAAGGTGTACGTGGAAGGTGATGGTGAAAAAGAATAAAATGAATTGCTGGAGGACCAATCCTGAGGAAACAAACAAACGAGTTTTAAAATTAAAGTATCAAATTTATTTTAAAAACTATGAGCATGTTTGTCTTTCTCATAAATTCCTATTTTCTCCTTGTAAGTAGATCAGTTTTTCCTCCAACTTACACTTCGTTTCTCACAAATTTCCAAATTACAATTTCTTGTCTTGTAAATTTGTAATTTTTTTTGTAAATGTATTATATTGTCCTCGTAATTTACTTTTTTTTAATGCATCATTTTTACTCATACATTTGCATTTTATTCATAATTCATATTCAGTTTGTCATTTTCCATTTTTGTAAATTTATCATTCTCATAAATTAACAAATTTTAACTTGATAACCAACATTTTCTTTTTAACCAATTTAAGGGGTTTTGTTTTGTTTTGTTTTTTAATGTCATTTTTTCCCATAAAATCTTCTTTTCTTCTAAAAGAGTTAGCCTTTTTTCCTATGAGTGTAAATTTTTTAGCTCATAATTTTCTCGTTGTTTCCCCCACAAATTTGCCATTTCTTCTTAAACTGTGCCATGAATGACAACATATACCAAATAAGTTGATCTATTCAAATGAAATTCAGCTTGTGGTTGGCCAAAGATTTATCTCTCTGTAGTTCTGCATTTATAAACATAAGACTTTTTTGAAATTGCCACATGGGGGTTAAAAGATGGCGTCTTTGTAGCACAGGGGGTGTTAACATCTTAGACATTCCTGTCATTTAGCTGTGTTAATCCTAAAGTATTTCTAGAAGGTGTAGATGACAGTGTCCCAAACGTCATACTTTTGTACTCATGCTGCCAAGCCTAACCCTGAATGCCAGCACAACCATCAGTCCTGACTTGTCACATAGAAATAAATCATTAATTGTAAAGAGCTTCTATACTCATATGAGAATTTTGTAGAGAAACAGAGTCACTTTGTGTTTTATTACTTAGTATATATGTGTTTTTAAACTGCACATCTATAACTGCAGGATCTGGGCTAAATATCAGCAGAGCAGTGAGTCCCATCAAATCACAGTGCTCTTATGCTCATGCTGTGCCAGGTCAGGATGTTCAGGAAGATGCCGTGGAGGAACACACCCAGTGAAGTGGTGACTCTCCACCAGGACCGCGCCCCTAACACCAGCATGTTACTGCTGAGGTCCTACGGTCTTGACTGTATTTCTGCTCAGAGACGAGGGAGAGGGCAAAAACGCCAGAAATGAGCGCTCCAGAAATGACTCACATCCTTCCTGCTAATGTGCTGCTCTTTGTCACGATGCTTAGGTGTTCCTGGGTGACCCACATACCCACTCCTGCCCTGTGTTCACCAAGAAGCTGGAGCCTTACAAGCACATCTGCTGGTATCACTGACACAACGGAAGGAATAGCCATTGATGAGCATTTTAATATATGTTTTAAATACATGTAGCTGTGTGAAGGCAAACACTGACTGTAACAGTTGAATGCATTGATTTGTCCACAGTACATAGTGTTTATTTTTCTCTTTACCCATTTTTAGGAGAACTATTTAACAATCCTCTCCAAAAACTCCTTTATCCCTCTAAAGAGTCAGCAGTTACGTTATGGCATCCATTTTAATCTTTATCATTTCAGGGTTTTACTGCGGAAAGTCAGACTGCCCAGAGAACATGCATGTGAGTTACTTTCAGACTTTTGGTTGGTCAAAGATTGTAAAAACCTTTGAAACGTTTGGGGCATGAATCTCATGGTATTTGGGGACTTTTAATGATTTCTTTGAACTGTTCTTTTTTAGTTGTGGAAAAAGAACTAATGTAAGTTATATAATTCTATCTTTAAAAGCTTTAAAAAACAATAACTGTGTGCACAACTTTGATTTTATACATATACACTCCCATTAATTTGTGGCTTAATGTCTCTTAGCATGTTAGACCTCAACCAGACACTTTTGGTAGCCACCAACAAGCTTCTGGAATAATCCTGGCTCATATCTAACGGCTCTTCTTGGCAGAATAGGAAGAATTCATTTAAATCGGGTGGTTTCTTGGCACAATGTAGGCCTTTAAGCTCAGTCCAAAAATTTTTAACAGGGTTGAGGTCGGAGCTTTGGGAAGGCCATTCCAGAAGCTCAGTGTTAGCCTGCTTTATCCGTTCTGTAACCAGTTTTTATCTGTTTGGGATCATTGTCATGTTGGAACACCCAACTGTGTCCAAGTTTCAACCATCTAGCTGATAATTTGAAGTGAAGAATTTGGAGTCCTCCTCCTTCATTATTCCAACCATTTTAATGTATCATTACCACTGGCAGCAAAACGGCCTCCGATTCTTCCACCACCATGCTTGACAGCTGGTACAGTGTTCTCAGGTTTGAAAGCCTCACCTTTACCAGTCATGATACTTTACAGTTTGGGTCTTTTTCCAGACCTTTGAAACGTGGTGATAGATCTTAATAACAGCTGTACTTACATACAGTGAGTTAAATGGATGATCTTGGAATCTGCAGTTGGCTCGAAAAAATATTCCCAACTTGGGTAAATCAACAATTCTCTTTCTTGGATCGTCACTTGGAGTTCCTTGGACTTTCCCATTGTTCTGATTATTGGTCAATTCAATGAGTGCTGTCAAACAATCCCTTTAATGCTGCAAAGAGCAATGACGAGTTACATTAAAGATTTAAGCTGTACAATCATTCCACCCTAGAAAAAGAACAGTTGAAAGAAATTATTAAAAATTAGCATCACACGGCTTTTTGGGTGAAACTTCTCTGTGTAAAGTTTTACATATTAAAATCGAACATTAACCAAACCGTTATTTCATATTCTAAATTTTCACCTTAGTCAACTTCACATGCGCACACACATTTCAGCTCCACATGGACTGTGTGGACCCGATCCTTTGGAAGTCCACCTCCTGCCCCTTGGATGGATATGTTGTTTACAACCCCCTGATTTTTAGAACCAGCGACAGGAAGACCTCCGCGAAGTCAGACTTCACTTTGAGGTGCTATCAGGCACTTCAGTTTCTTTAAACATCAGGAGATGAATCCTTAATCAAAATCAAGTAAAAAAGAGAAAAAAAAGACTTGAATCTGCAAGTATGAGATTTATTTTTGCTTGCAAAGTTGTATTTCTTCTGTATTTTACAACACAGCATTAATTAAAAAGCCATAAATTCTAACTGGTATCAACTAAGTTTATTAATTTGGTGCACAAAAAAGGCAAGACTAACAGCACTACCATCATTACAGAGGTAAAAACACAAGAGGTGTCCATTGGGGAAGAATCAGACGATTCGATAGTGAGAAACACAAGGGGAACACTATACATCGAAATCAATACAAATCACGTTCAAAAACAGGAAGTGGCAGTGATCGGAGTTGTTGCGCTCGTCAAGAAGTACCAGCACAACGTGTTGACATACGACTCCTCGAGTGGCCGCTGAGGCTGGGGTGTACCGTGTTTTTTAAAGCTGATGACAAGCAGGAGAAAAATATTTTCAGCTGTAAGCGTACTGAATGATCAAGTGCTCAGTTTGTTGCTACATTTAAAATTACAAAGCTCAGGCTTTTTGTACAATCCTGTGGGGGGAAAACACTCAAAATCTGTTTCATTCAACCGGTGCATATCTCCACTTCTGGATGGTAGAAAAAAACAGCACAAATGATTTAAATCACTGTCACATCGTACATAAAATCTTTACTATATACATACAAAAGAGCACATGTGAATGTACAGAATGAAATCCAAAGAGTCATAAAATGATGGAAGACTAATTATGGTAAAAGCTTTGCTGCACTGTTCTCTTTAAAAAGTGAATTTACTTGAAAATATTGCTATTTGAACCATTGTTTTTCACACTGTATCATGGTTCAACAGTTTTAAATTTTTTATTGTGGATATTTTTACCCACTTTTAGTGGGTTTTTACCCAACCTTCAGTGGGTACCCATATTTACCCACTGAAGATTTCTTGGAAACATGGATAAACCTGCCTTGTCCTGCCAAGTCGGAAAGGCATGAAATAGTATGGTTGGCCTTTTTGTTCAATATTTCACTAAAATACTTCTTTGTATAAATATTAAGAGCGCAAGTACTCAGATTTATGCTACCAGTTGTCCTCTGAGCTCAATGCTAGCATGCTAATATGGTCACAATAGTTAAGCTTAACATGCTAAGCGAGTATATGTATATGCCTTGTAGGGCCACAGACCAGTCAGCACACCCCTTATAAAATGTGTATTCCCTGACTGGTTGGTGAGTGGTTGCTGGCTGTCGTTGTGTAAAATAGTTTGCAAAACAGGGTACTGCCTCAAAAACCTTGTTGCAATTGCTTTGGTCGCTAGCAGATTACTGCGGTCGTCCACAGTTTGCATGGAATTTGTCTGCAAACACTCACCAGTCAGCCAATGAGTGGTAATTAAACATGAACAAGTGTAGCACTACCTAGAACATTTGCATTCAAAGTAAAAGCTGCTGAACCAACATATTTCAAAAGGCAACACTTTTACTGTAAAGGCAGTCTGTGCTCTATTCTTCACAGTTTTACTATCGCTCCGTGAGTAGTTGACAAGACTTGAAGTGTTTGCAAACCAGGTGGAGACTTCCGTGCAAACTCTGCGCCAAATCAGCCCTCTATCTTGTTACAGCCAGCTTCACCTAGCAACAGTAACCTCCAACAACCTTTTGCTAATCTGGGAAAACACATTTTTCCATAGTGAACGGCAGTTACAAGGGGGTCACTGGTCTTAGCAATGGATTCCACAGCGACTGCCCACAACAAGCAAAAGATCCCCCAGTTCAAGACCAGGAGGAAATACCTTGTGGTTTGCATCAGGAAGAGTATCCTGCCCAATCAAATATGCAGCACTGCCCACTGTGGAAACCCTTAGTGAATAATGGGAGAGCTTAATGTAGTTTTCGTTTGGTTGGAGAATTTTTTTTTTCCTAGCAGCCTTCCAGTGCCAGGCAGTCGCCATCAGCTCTCTACGTCTTGTGTAAATGAGGCCTTAGTCATCTTATTTCAGCTAATATTTCTCATATTTGCTGGTTAGACACAAAGTACAACAGACATTATTATTAGTTTTGCAGGAAATGAACCGTTGAAAATTTGACCATGGACTGTTTAAAGGATGGACAAAGTCAAGCTAATGCAGGACCGCCTTAAAGGTGCATTCTGATATCCAGCAGGGGGCGAGTCCTCTGACTGCAAAAAGACTTTGGGTCATATAAACCTTTACAGAAAACCGCCCACAGTTCCTAGTTGACAAGTTACAGACACAGTTGCCAGTTTCAGAACATAGTCGTTCCAACCTCGTTTTAAAAATCTTAATACTGAGCTAGCAGTTTCTCAGTCAAATCCACACCTTACACATCACAGCTGGTTTCAAACACTGTGATGTTTGAAACCAGCTGGGGAAAACACTCATCCACTGAAGCACTTAACAGGCCAATGGATGATGCTCTGGTGGCTACGTCCATTTTTTATACAGTCTATGACTTTGACTTTAAGATGATGCAGCATGGAAATTTAAGGGTCAGCAAAGTTCTTACAAACCATCCTGAGAGGAACATTAATATACATGGCTATCCATCCAACCAAATGTCAGCCTTATGGTGAACCGGAGAGGAAAATACGTTTGTGATTGAAATAATTGTGATACAGTATCAGGAAACAATGAGCCTCTGTACACATTCTAACAGTAAACCACCAACAGTTGTTGAAATGGTCTACCAACGGACCAACTAGCTCACAGACCGCTACAATGGCATTGCCTTCTGTTGAGCTGCACTATATCAGTGTAGCAAAGAAGCGCTCTCTGGACCAAAAGAGGAGAACCATTATTGTAAACTGAAGCGTTCATTCAAACCCAGATTTTTTTCCCTCCCTCTAGAAAATATAAACCTATGTTGATGCCTACTGTGTGAGTATATATATATAAATAGATTTGGGCATGCAGGTACAGCTAAAAGCAGATCTCCAAGGCACCAATTTCAAAGGGTAACGCTGTACCCGAAAAGATGTTCAGGTATTAAGAATAAAGTAAACCAAATCATAATTTATTGGCAAGCAACAGATTCTTCCAGTTAAAGAGGACTTGCTATGCTCGTTACCATCTCCATGTTGTTATTCTTGGACTCTACTGGAGTAGCTTTGCATTATTCAAGGATCAAAATAATAAATATTCCTTATACTGAGCCCTGCAGTAGCCTATCTTAGACTATTTGTCTTCTAAATGGCTTCCACTAACAAACAGAGGGTTTGAACAACAAGTGGGTGGGGCAAAGACAGCCCCACTCTCTGACATCATCCAGAGCCAACAGCAGAAAAAACTGTCTGAAAGCAAGTATTTAAAGTAGACTGAAGCCAGCACTTTTCCTTGCAGAGGTTACTTAGACATACACTGACCTCATCAATTAAAACCTAATAGGTAGCACAATAAGTCCACTTTGTCCACTGTGTGACAACAGCATAGTTATAACAGTATCCCTCAAAGAAAAGTAGCAACTGTACCACTGATTGTTTCCAATAGTTAATCTAATTCTTTGGGCTCTTACGAATCCCGTTAAACAAGTCTTGACACGTTTTGTCATACAAATAAATGTGGACAACTGTAAATGGAAATAAATGGGGAAAAAATTCAGTCTCTAAGTAATCTATGATGAATTGCCGTTAACGGTAAAATGCAAATATATTCATACGCACGGTGAAAACATTCATTTTCATGCATTCAAAAACAGATGTAGGCTAAAAACCTTAAACTTCAGACATGAACTTCAAAATGGCAGCTTTGCTTTGCTTTACAATGTACATCAAAATTTCAATCCAAAGGTTCTGGAGTCAGTCAAAAGTTGGAAAGCTGAAGCTCGTTTTCCTTTTACTTACACTCAGTTTAGTTAACAAATCCCAGAGCGTCATTTATGGTGGAATGAGGCAGTAGGATACAAAGCGAGATGTGAGTGCTGCGGACTGGGAAAGCTTCTTCGTCTTATTTAATATACAGCAGGCATTTATGGTGAGGATAAGTGCACTACACATTGACCTGTATCTGTGTCCATCCTGCAAACTCACCAGATTTTTTTTATACTAAATATCGACACACACCACCTTTGCGTAACCCTATATAACGATTACAGGCAGTAAGAAGGCACCCTCTATAATGCCAGAACCGGATACTGTGGGACATCGTGTTCACACGGACATCTGCTGTGAGGAATCTCGCTGGTGATCGTCAGATTTGGGAGAATGAGAGAACACGGTGCACAAACTCGTCTTAACAGCAGCTACATAACGTGACACAGATGCTGATTCATTTCTTGAGCTAGCTTATGCATTCTTTGGCAAAGTTGTACAATCACAGAACTCAACAACAACAATGCCTGTGTGAACACAAACTCATATGAATTACTTAATTTGGATTTTAACTGAAGCACTGATGGGTGGGGAAATGAGCCTGAGAAGCTTTAGCTTCTCTTGGTCAGAGGTCTGCCCTCCCGGATGTGCTTGGCGCTCCTCTTTTCTGTCTTCCCCTTCTCCCTCACCTTCCTCAGGCGCCGGGGAGGTGGTGTACCTCTTGATTCACTGTCCTCCTGAGCGCTGGATGTATCCATCCCATCACGCTCTTCAGGAATATTCGGAATGGCCCCACTGCTCCCATCTAAAATGTTCCTCAGGGATGGGTCCTCTGGTGTGCAGGTAGCAGTGGTGCCGCTCTCACTGCTGCTCAGGTCCTGCTCTTCGCCGTACCGCCCGCCACGGCTGTGGTGCGGCAGGGAAGAAGCCCTGATAGAAGGTCGATCACGCTCCGTCTCGCGGATGCTTTGCTGAGGCTCGTTCATGTCCACCCCTGAGTCCAGGCTGGTGTCGTTGCTGCTTGGCTGGCGGTGGTGGCTCTGGAGCTCAATGATGGAGTGGCGGACCTGCGCTGCTGGCTTCCCATCTAAGGAGACAAACCAGGCTCTGGGGTGAGACGACGAGGACTTGCCACGCGTCAGCTCCAGCAAGGTGCGCTCTGAAATCCCCTGCAACTCACTGGGCACGCCGTGCCCGGTGTTGAAGCCCTCCATGCCAGCTGCCTCATTAAGAGTCCCAGGCACAGAGACGGAGGATTCAAGGAGGTTATTGTAGCGTCCCCACACACTGTTAGGGCCTTGTCCCTGAGGGGGCGTCTCCAGAGGCTGGGGATCATCTTGGCTACTCTGCTGTGGGCTGCTCCCACCTTGTGAGTGGTGGTGAGGAACTTTGGGTAGTGTCTGGGTGTAGCTGTCTTTACTTGCAGGCTCTGAGTGAGCATCATACTCACTTCCGTTGCGGGGGAAGGTGGCGGACTTGCAGCCTGGTAGCTGCTGATCCTGAGCACTGAAGAGCTCGGGAGCGGGAATAATAGCCACTGGCTGGTTGTAGATATGGACCAGCTTATCCTGAAAGAAGTTGTCGCAGTTGATGTTGGCCCGGTTCTGCTCCGACTTCTCCCTTAATCGAGACACCTCTTCACTGTTGATGTAGTGAGGTGGCGGCTGAGGACCCTTCATCCGATCTGGAGTGATGTTCTCATAAAGCGGTGCCGCGGCACGAGTCCCTGGATCCTCCACGTAGATGTTATAGTTGGCTTTGTGCCTTGGAGTAGATGACGGTTCGCACTGGATGCTGCAGGTGGCGAGGCTGTTGTCGCCAGATCGGAACAACAAGCCCTCTTCCATGTGGGTGGAGGTGGTTTGGTCTTTCTTTACAACCGTCAATTTGGAAAAACGTGCTCTCCTCCTCCTGGGCTCTCGATAAGAACCTCTGTACATGGGAGAAGCAAAAGTTAAGCGGGACAAGCTTTGGTCTACAGGCTTTTCAGACTCACTCAAAGAACCTTTAAAGTAGGAACTGTTTCACTATTTCATTACTAACAGCCTATCAAAGCCGAACACAGAGTAGCACATTTACTTGTTAAGCAGCTCTTGAGAGTTAGCATAACTCTGGCAGAAGATATTGCTAAAGTTGCAACAAGCATTGTAATCTGTCTTTTTAGGTTTTCAGTCATCCAGGTCATACTAGTCTTAAGAGCTTGGTAGAAGGTGAGGGGGTCCAGCTTGTTTAGTCACTCTTAAGACTAGCATTGCAATCCTTTCTGCTAAATGTGCACCTGCACTCTTCAATTTTAATCATGTATAGTTTCCCAGTTTGACTGTGCCCTTGCAGCAACTTGATTCTTTTGTTTTTCAGCCATTCTGTTGCAGATTTGCTGCTGTGCTTCAGATCATTGTCCTGCTGCATGACCCAGTTTGGACCTTGTTCAGTCTTTTATAATTGTACTTTAACATGCTGATACAGTGCTATGGTGCAGAGTTAAGATAACTGATATGGTGGAGTTGCAACAAGCATGGCAATCATTTCTCCTAGTGCTGCAGCTGCACAGTCTTCTGATCTACTTTACTGATAAAAAGCATGCATAGTTTACCATTTTTACTAAAAATACCTGAATAATCCAGCAATCTTTTGCAGCGATATACAGGGAAGGCTAAGCTAAGGCTACAGCTAGCAGCTTTAGCCTAGCCTTCCCTGTATGTAAGGTGTCAGACGCTAACAAAATTCTGTTTTAATTAGAAATTTTGAGCCCAAAAATTGTATTTAGTTTATATAGCAAAATGATATCTGTTCCAAACAACTGTTAACTGTTTCCTTGATTACTAAAAACTGCCATATTGAGCCATATTGTTTGAGCCCTAATTTAAAGCGACATTGTAACCAGTTAGGCCAAAGAGAAATTTACTGATACTGTTAAAGTCCTGTGAAAATCTAAGCACAACCCATAGCAGAAATAACTTGAAGTAATTATTTCTGTATGGCTTTATCATTTTCTGAGATTGTTAGGAATTTTCTGTATGCAAAGTCGCAGGCAAATCTGAAGAATAAAACTGCTAAGATGATTTCTTTAGAGATGCATTAGAAGGCAATCTTGAAGCTATGGATGCACTCTTAGATCACACCTTTTTAATCTGCCTCTTGTTGATCAGCATTGCATATACTGTCAATTGAAAACATTTCTAGAAGGGTTTCTTACCCACAGTGGCACAAGAGCAGGGACAGAAATCCAATCACTATGGCCAGAGTTCCACCCAGTATTCCTACCAACAGGTAAGTATGGTAAGATAGGAAATCCAAAGAGTTTGCATGTCCCAGATAATCTAAAAGGATAAATGTATAAGAAGATGTGAAACAGGTCTAAACAAAAATAGCATTCACATGTGTTAATGAAGGTCAATGAGGTATCTACCTCTTGATGAAGGCAGAGGGGCGGCGATCCAGTAGCCCAGATGGGAAGCGGTGTAAGTCCAAACCAACTCATTTCCAACCGTTTTAACTATTCCCAGACCATGATTCTCCCAGCCACCTTCAAACAGCAAAGAAAATAGCATGAGAGGAAATTTCTTTAGGTCTTTGTCTCATAATTCAGCTGCTCTGCTGCTATTTGCATTGCTACCTGTCTTCTGGTTGAAGGCCCAGGCTGGCACAGTATCAGAGGCCCTGAGGTGTGTGTGGTGGCCCAGCGGCAGACTGATCTGGATGGGTCCTCGAACCTGTAGCTCCTCGCCACCAGAGTACAGCAGGACGCTGATGGCTGCCACGGCTTTCAGATCAATACTTCTGAAAACTGCAAAACAGTCCATGCCAGGAATGTAAATGGTAAAGCATATTGTTTGGGTACCTCAATAAAAAAGTCATCCATCCATCTCCAAAGTCACACTTTCCAGTTCCTACTGGGGAATGCTGAAACAATCCCAGGTCAGACGAGATATATAATCTCTCCAGCAGGTTCTGGGTCTACCCCAGGATCTCCTTCTAGTTGGGTGTTCCTGGAAAACCTCCAAAGACAGGCACCCAAGAAGCATCCTAACCAGATACCCAAACCACCTAAAGTTCCTCACCCTATCCCTGAGGCTGAGCTGAACCACCCTACAGAGGAAGCGTACCTCAGCCCCTTGTATTCACGACCTTACTTTTTAAATTATTTACCTAGATTTCATGACCAGAGGTAAAGGTTGGGATGTAGATGGAGCAGTAGATCAAAACCTGAACCACCCTAACCCACTACTGACAAGGAGTGTGAGCTGGGTGTGTGGACCCTTCAGCACCACAGACTGGTTTCTGGGACGTGGAACATCATTTTTCAAAGGCATGATTGATCTCTTTCATTCTGTACCTCTTTAACTGGACCAAATGTCATTGTGACGTTTAAAAAATCTGATCAGGAAATGTTTTTCTTTACCTGATTTGTTGCTGATGAAGCCAGGAGTGCAGTTGGTGCAGTCCTTCGCCAGGTGGGGATGTAGTACAGTCAGGTACGCCATCACCGAAGAGATGTTGGTCTTATCCGGGATCGTGAGAATGTTCTTTGGGAACTTCACCATCGGCTGGGATGAGCTGTCTGTGAAAACAAAATGGCAGGTTATCAGTAGGAATTTGGGCACGTGTGCTTTTTAAGTCGATTCAGCCTTCTGCACATTTGTTACACATCTGCAAGCCGCTTTGCAAACCACTTCCACAACAGCTCCTCCTTTTAAAGGTGTAATTGAATCTTCTCTTTACTCAAATAATCTTTACAAGTGACTTTAGTTGAACTAAAGTCACTTGTAAAGTAGCCACATGCAGCTCAGTTTGGTCTGCTGTTTCAATCTATCGATTTAACTGTGAAGCAAACTAGCTAAAACGAACCCTCACTGGGTAGTTGATACAGTGAGTATGTTCACTTTACTAATGAAAGTCTTTTCAATGTAAAGAAGAAGGGCCCTGCCATCCACCCACTGGGCTGCTGTACACAGTGACAGAACACAAGTACATTAAAAACTGACTAAACTAAGAGCAGCCTGTGTGCAGAAAAGCAGTTTGTTTAGTTTTCTGCAGTCTGAAATCTGGAATTTGTCTTTGCTGAAAGTTGACAGCAGTGATACCTGCAGGAGTTAGCCTTAAGCAGCTTCACTACATTCATTTTAGAGAGGGAGGCATGTGTCACAGTGGACAAGTTTAAATACCTGGAGTCAACCATCCAAAAGTAACAGATGGTGAACAAGAGAGTACAGGCAGGGTGGAGCGGGTGGAGACGAGTGACAGAGGGCAGCAAGAATGGAAGGAAGTTAAGAAGGTGGTTAATGGTTTGGACACAGTGGTGCTGACAAAAAGACAGGACACTGGGAGTGACCAAGGGAGACAAAATTAGAAATGAGTACATCAGAGGGACGGTTTACTCTGGATATATTTTTACTCCTGTGCAGTAAGGCTGATGCACCAAACCAGGAACAGCAGCGCAGTGTTTGCAAACTATCCAGAGGGCTGAATCGTACCACTGGGCAGACCGATTCCAGCCTCTGAAGCCACATGTTTAGACACCTCTGGTTTCGTCTCAGTGTCTCTGCCAAGTGTGTCCACTTTACACTGTCAAACACACTCAAAAGCCTACTTAAAGCAGTGTAAATTGAATACTAAAAGCCTAAACACAGTGTGTGTGTGTGTGTGTGTGTGTGTGTGTAGGAACTCACCAGGTACCTTCCCGGTGATGAGCACGGAGTCTTCATACAGCCAGATGTTCCCCTGACTGTGAGGGAGCAGCAGCAACGTGACAGAGGAGAAAACTGCCACAGGACAAAGAGAAAGATCAGGAGCCAATCACAAGTACAGAAGAACAACAACGATCTGTCAGGTTTTCATGACCTAGAACATCTGCTGGTGTGTTTGTTTGTTGGTTTGGTAGCTTGTAGAGCTACAAATCCAACAGCAGAGGGCGGCCAAACATTGGAGCACAGCAGAGTTCAGCTGTCTGGCTCAGCACCACAAAAGGGAGGCGTCTCTGCTAATGCAGAGTGGATCTCAACTGTTCCCCCCACCCTTCCTGCATTTTCTCCTCCATAACACCTGCTCCCCACTTCCCTTTGAATCACCACCTGCTCCCTTGCCCCTTCTCCACACTAAGGCCAGCAGAATAAAAACATCCCCACCACCCCCCTGCTCTGGCAGGACAAAGACACTTTGCTGAGACAAGCATAGGTCTCATGCCGGCCTGAGGCAGACACCTCGACTCCAAGAGCGATCGATGAGGCGAGCACAGGACGCCACGCTCAGTTACACTGGACTGGGAACATAAATCGCCTCATCGTGGACAAACCTCAGAGACAAGTTGTGTGTTGTCGCTGACACTTCATTAATCTATAATGACAATGAATAATGCAGGCGAGTGTGTGTGTGTGTCTGAGTGTGTGGGAACTGTGCTAGCAATACTGTAAGCTCCACAGTCTTGTTTTTGGTTTTTTTACGTCACCTTTTAAAAAATGATTTACTGGTTTGGTCATTTTTAGGTTGGCAGTGAGCCCACTTTCTGAATTCTGTCTCTAAAGCACTTTAGACCAATAACAATACTCACCAATACCAGTATCGATATACCATTTTGGTACTTGCCAATACCAATATTGGTATTGGTAATATCGGCCCTGTATTTACTTGGTAATTGAAAATTAAAATGATTTAATAAAATTCAGTGGGCTACATACTGAACTTTGAGGATAGAAATAAAGTATTGATCCAGTACTGATATCAGTAATTGTATCGATCTGCCCACCTATGCTGGTCACTCACTTGGTCTCTTATTGGTGCTCCAGGGGAGCAGGCTGGGCACATAGCCTCCCATGCTGCCCAGCAGGGTCAGACCGAGGCCCGGGCTGTACGTCACCCAGAGCAGAACCTCCCCCATCTCCCCGGTCTGGGCAGAACTCCTCAAGGTGTGATTGACGTAGACGTCCACCGAAGCCCCCGACAGGGGCTGGCGGGTCACCAGATCTCTCACCAGGACCCTCAGGGCAAACTGAGGCTCTGCAAAGAAGATGCCAGAGTAAAAAAGAGGAGATCTGGGATGCACGTGTCCCTCCTGCGTGCTCCGTAACCTTTCTCTCGCCATGAAAAAGTGATGAGGCGAGCACTTCTGCGGGGAGGGTGGAAAAATACATCCAGGAACCGAACGACAGCACAGAGGAGATGCAGTCTGACTTTTAAATACAAGCTTCCAGATAAACAATGCGCTGTTTGCTGTTTTTGACGAACACACACACACACAGCCTCAGCTGTCCTTTGTGTGTTCACTAGGGACAGGATGTAAACACAGGCTTTACTTACTGTATCAGCAGAGCAGCACAGGATTACCACACTCCCCTCTCTCCCTGTCTCCCATTAAGACATTACCTGCTCAGGCCAAAAAGATAAAAGCCTAATCCTGCACACCTCCATATTCCTCCTATTAATCCTATTACACTGGACTGTCTGATTCCAGTCCAGCAGTGTATCAGTGCGCTCCTGATTTCCTAATTTATTGCAGAAAGCCCCCTTTATTAACGCACCTGCACCATCAGTCATGCCCCACTGTTTCCTCTGCAGCTGATTTCCATTTTCAGTAACAATGACATCCCCCTCCTCCATCCTCCAGCAAACACCCCCTTCCTCTTTGTTTATGTTTACCTGCTGATAGAGCCGAGAGGGTGGCGGCTCGGCCCGAGGCGGCGGTGTCGGTGCCGGATGGGTCTCCGGCCCCGGCCGTGAGGCCGCCGCCCTCCTCCAGTGCCGCTGCTGCCCTCGCCGCCCCATCCAGGCAGGAGATCAGCAGCAGCGACGGCAAGAAGAGGAGCAGCGGCGGTGGGTGGCGTTCAGCGGCGGACATGGCGAGAGGGGGAGCAGGCTCAAAGACATAACGGACCGCGAGGAACCGAGCTCTGGAGCGGGGAGCGCTATCACCGAGGCCTCGTCCCTCCCTCCCTCCGTCTGTGTGTCTGTCAGGGTTCCTGTGATGCTGGTGCCGAAAGAAGGAGGAGGCACCCCGCGGAGAGGAGATGCGCTGGTGCTGAGGCTGGGCGTGTGGGGCCGAGATCGTCTATATAAACCGCGATGTCTCACTCTGTTATAGGAATGCGTGCGGTAATCGAGATTAAACAAAATAAGGGCGTGTATCAGTAAACATACCCGGAGCAGAAGCACTGCCGCTTTTTTTCTAACGTTTCATGGATGTTACTGTTTGACAAGAGTCTCTGCTGACCGCGGGAAAAGTGTCAGAGTGAGCGCTCCTCTCTCTGCGTCATCTCTGATGAGACCCAACATGCTGTTACATCATCGGGGTCTGCGCGGCCCTCTGTCGGTAAACTGGGGACTCAACACTTCGGATCATACAGGGAATTCTTTATACTTTGCTATGTACATCTTTAAATAAATCACGTTTTCAAACATACATGTAAATACAGTAAATAAGGCAAACTCTCTTAGGCAGCTTTTGTGTCATTTCTTTAAGTAGTCTTCAGGAATAGTTCTCCAGGCTTCTTGAAGGACATTCAAAGCTCTTCTTTGGGCGTTTCTACCTTTATGATTTTCATAATTTTCATACCTCAGCCTTTTCTCTCCGTTTCTCTTCCTTAAGAATGGCTTGTTGACAGCCACTGAGACCATTTCTGATGGGGAACAATAGATGATCAGGTCCAGATGAATCTATCAGGTCCTGTGTCAGATTCTTCACTCTTTCTATAAGGACATGACTTGTGTTCTTTTTTGTATTTTTCATAGATTCAAAGAAATTGGAACAAATGATGTGTTTTTGTTACAGGCTGCTTAAAAAAGTGCCTAAAGATGTGTAGAAACAACACTGGCTCATCCCATAACTTAGGAGCCTTTTTATGCTTGAGTGATAAGTGGCATAACAAAAACGACCATCTGAAAACGAGTGAAAAAGCAGCAAACGCACAAATAAACACAGTAAAAGATCTTCAGAAAGCTGGAGAACTACTGCTCAAGAGCACTTTGAAAACTGACCAGAAAGTTGAACTCATTGAAAGCAAAATATAAAGAAATGAAGGGCGGCTGATGAAAT